TTACCCTAACCCTAACCCTAACCCTAACCCTAACCCTAACCCTAACCCTAACCCTAACCCTAACCCTAACCCTAACCCTAACCCTAACCCTAACCCTAACCCTAACCCTAACCCTAACCCTAACCCTAACCCTAACCCTAACCCTAACCCTAACCCTAACCCTAACCCTAACCCTAACCCTAACCCTAACCCTAACCCTAACCCTAACCCTAACCCTAACCCTAACCCTAACCCTAACCCTAACCCTAACCCTAACCCTAACCCTAACCCTAACCCTAACCCTAACCCTAACCCTAACCCTAACCCTAACCCTAACCCTAACCCTAACCCTAACCCTAACCCTAACCCTAACCCTAACCCTAACCCTAACCCTAACCCTAACCCTAACCCTAACCCTAACCCTAACCCTAACCCTAACCCTAACCCTAACCCTAACCCTAACCCTAACCCTAACCCTAACCCTAACCCTAACCCTAACCCTAACCCTAACCCTAACCCTAACCCTAACCCTAACCCTAACCCTAACCCTAACCCTAACCCTAACCCGCGCGCTCCACCATACAAATTGTGGCCACGGCAGATGGTCGCGCCCAACGCTCCGGAAAAACATGTCAGGCAGTGACGCGCATAACGAAAGATACGGAAGAAACACACCGCGCAACGGCAAAAAGTCCATACTGAGAAGACGCGGCCTTTCACAGCAGTTTTTGGCTCAGTCCGCGGGTAAGATGATTTGGCCTCCACACAACAAACGCACACACCGCCAGCAGTCACCCAACATGGACAAGAAGCGACACACCGCGCCACCGCCTCCAGTTCAATCCCACGGATAACGGGATACGGTCACAGCCCGGAACCGACACACAACGCATACGGAGCTAGCAATCACCCAAAGAGCCGCACGCAGAAGCGATTCCTCATCCATCCATGACGCGGCGACAAATTTCCAGCCATTACACCCACACTGGGATTCGGTGCCCAACTCAAATAAGTCGCAGGCGGTGCATCACGCCAACAGCAAAATTGACTCGCGGTGTGCACTCCCTCGCCCCTCCTTCCCTTCATGCCCACGGAGGAAGCAGCAGCCACCCGCAACCGCCAGCAACCGCTACAAAAGAAGCATCCAAATCCACTGCAATGTGCATCTTGTGTGTGTGCCTGCAGAAACACAAAGAAAAGAAGCAAAAACAGGAGCAGAGCATGTGAAGGGACGCACAAACAAAAACAGCACTGCAGAAGTGCACGGCAGAAATAAAGAGACTGCTCAGGCTCATGATATTGCACTGCAGACCAAAGCAGCGGCAATTCATAAAAAACTATTAAAATTTTAAAAAATTCATCTTCACCATTCCACACCTCACACTTTGGGGAAAAAAATGAAAGAAAAAAAAAGGAAAAACAAGAAAAAACAAGAAAAAACAAGAAAAAAGAAAATGTCGTCCTCTATTACGGATACACACAAATCATGATAAGAAAAACCACACAAAAAAAGCACCTAACCACCATGTTGCTCCAGAAACTGTTTGTATATTTTGCCGCAAAAGAAAATTAAATAATTACGTGTGCTTCAACCGTCCGACCCTCCGTGTGTCCGCTCATCGTTTATATTTCATGGGTCATCTGCGTGTTGCTGCTCCCCTCAGCCCTCTCATCGGCGCGCGAGTGCCGCCCGCAGAGCACAGTCACTCGTGTGTGTGTGGGACTGAGAGAAGCACGCAGACATGACGGGAGTCGCGTCTCTCCATCGGGAGAGTGAGCAAAAAAAAAAAACACGGCGGCAGGGTGTGGCTGTGTGTGTGTGCGTGGCGCTGCGGGTGTCTGCCCGCCCTGGCCGCAAGAAAACAAAACAAGAGGGAAGAAATGTGTGCGCCGCCCCACAGGCCCTCGTCGCACGCCCACACGTCACGGCTCCCTCAGCGCGCCGTTCGTCGCGGCCCCTCCTCATGCGTGCAGCAGGCGAGGCGCACAGGGCCGTCGTCATGAGCGTGTCGGTGGTGTGCGAGTGGAGCAGTTGGGCGGGAAACACACGGCACCCCTCGCAGGAAGAGTGCAGCATAAAAGAAAAAACAGATATAAAAATTTTTATAAAAAAGCAAACCAAGATAATTAAAAACAAACATAAAAAAACATGAGAAATTATACTCCAAACAGAAAAGAAAACAAAATTAAAAGCCGAAGAAAAAAATGTCCATAGTGGTTGCCCTAAATTAAAAAGCAAAAGAAGGAAGGTACTAAAAGCAAAAAGAAATTGTTATTTGCAAGGTGAACTTTGTTCCGAGCGGAGTGTGTGAGTGTCGGTGTGGAAGAGGGCGCAAATACTCCACACTGAGGCCGCACACTCCTCACGCAGTCGCAAGGCCCCACAGTCCAAGCAGAAAAAGCAGCGGCAGCAGCACCCTCCCGTACGCGGAAACAGCATCACCATTTGCCCCACCATCACCCGTTTCTCGTGCCGTTTCTTCATTCCCAGCAGGTGCAGCAGGCGCGGCAGGTTTGGGAGCAATTTTCACTTGTGGTTCTGGAGCTCTCGTCGGAACGGGGATCCTGTCCTTGATTGCACGCATTTCAGTGGAATTCAGTGGGCGGTTGTACAGAAAGACGTTCGTCACCGTCACACGAGGTTTTTTTCCGATCTCCTTCGGACTTGACTCCTCCTCATCACCATCAATTTTGCACGCGCCAAAGCAAAACGCGAAAATCTCAAGTGGCTTTTCACCTGTTAACGGCACTTCTTCCTCCCCCAGCAACTCACCATCAACGTACACAGAGGCCTTGTTGCCTTGCAGCATGAGTGCCACTTGGTGTTCTTTTCCCGCCTCCCAAGGCCTGCTTTCCGTTGTTGGTTTTTTCTCGTCCTTGAGCATCGTCATCCACTTGTTATCCGCGGTGTACGACAGTCTCATGAAATACTCGGGCCCAGCGTCAACCAACACCGCAGTCAGGAGAGGTGTGTTCCCACTCGGAGCCTCTTCGATGATCACCGACGCCACGAGTGTGAAGTTGTGGCTCAAGGATATATGACGCACATTACCATCCGGAATGTTCACAGACCATACTGCCCTGGAGTCAGGCTCCGTCAACTGAAATCCATCTTTGACCTTCGTGGCGTTCGTCACCGTCGCATTCAGACAAAGGTACTCGTCGTACCATCTCCCATCACCGGCCGCATCGGACAATACCGCCACCAGACCCACCGTGGGTATAGACAAGCTGGAGAAGAAAACGTCCTTTTGCGACCAAGTGCTGAGGACGGACTTAATTTCCTTCAGTTCCTCCGTCAGGCGGGAAAGCGACATGACACTGTCTTCACCACTGTCCCTCCGTTGTAAAAGATGCAACTTGCCATCCGAGTACAGCAGGGCGCCGGCAAGCTCCCCCTTCACAGCATTGTCCATGCCAACCGGTCCAACAAAAAACGAGCGGTTGTTGTCCGTGACCCAAAGGTAAAGCGCACTGGTCGTTTCCGTTTCCCCCAAGGCGTACCCTCTCTGTGTGTACAGCATGACCTTCCTGCCCTCAATGGTCACGGTGATGAGGGCTTCCACAGGCAAGCCTCCGTCCGGATAGTCTCCCAATTGTGAGTTGACCCACACGCCTGAGAGTGTCCCGATGGCCTCCGTCCACGTTGTCCCCATGTCACGCGACACGTACACCCTCTGGTCATTCTCGCAATCAACAATCATGAGAAGTGATCCCTCCCACTCGGTGATGCGGGGTGCACCGCATTTCGCAGGGGAAATGCCCTCAGAGAGCGACCAGGTACTGCCGTTGTCCTTCGAGTAAATGATCAAGGAGAAAACGCCATCTTTTTTTTCATTCACCGCCATCAGAGAAAACACAATGGTGCCATCCTCCATAACAACACCCGAGCCACCAGAAGCAAGGAACTCCGTCAATTTACCTTTTTGAGCAGCTATAGTACTCTCGTTTAACAGAGACTTGATTTCGCCCCATTTGATACGTTCAGTCGGCTCGCTGCTCGTAGGCTTCGTGACATCACCCACAACCAGTTTCAGCTCCAAGCTACCCTCTCTCCAACTCCAATTTACATAGGACAAATCAGTGCTTCCCGCAAGAAGAAACACCTTATTGCCCTTCGTGGTGGTTGTGGGGCGGAGCACAACATCCAAACTCTTCTTTCCCTCCGCTTTACCAAGCACAGTGTGTGCTTGCCATGTACTTTCACTCACCTTTTCAACAAGAGTGGGCCATTCCCACGCAGAGTCGATGTACCCCGCAACAACATCAGAAAACGGCTTAGCTGATTCGTTATGGGGGTTTTTGGTATTTATGTGGCCCTCGGCAAAAGCAGCAATTACTCCACCAGCGCTGACGAGAGAGGGTGAAAAAAATGAATCCCTCCGACTTGAGTCAGGCCCCTTCTTCGGCAGCACCTGCGTCTTCTGCGGCACAAAAAGATCGACCCGTTGCAGCCCCTCAACACCCCCTGAAGCACTCCCCTCTCCAGCAATGGCACCCGTCAATGCCGACCCAGGAGTTGAAGCATCAGCATTACTTCCCACCTGAGCGGTCGCAGCTCCACCGCAGCACATCGTCACGACAATTAGGAGCAGCACCGCGGAAGCAAACACGCGCCGGGACATGTTGGGCCTCGGCGGCTCACTCTCTCCTCCTTCCCTCCTCCTTCCGCTGGATCCGGTCACGCGGCGACGGTTGTGTGTGCGGGGTGCCTTCACTGCAGCAACACGTGAGAGCATATATATATGCGTGTAGGCGGTGTTTGTGTGTGCTGTTGGTCCTTTTGGTGCCTTCGAATTTCGCAGTAGCGATTAGCGCTTGTTTGCTTTCTTTCCTAGCGTGACTGTGCTCAACAAGTGGGGAGAACAGCAGCAGCGGCAATACACCAGAAAGGTCAGTGAGGAGCAGAGCAGAGCACCCACGCAGAGAGCGGGACACAAGACAATCCGGAAGAGGTGAAATGAAAAAACATCGCCCAAAAAGAAGAAACAAACACACATATCGCAAGTCCGCGGGAGAAGAGATTCGGCCCTCCACAAAACAAACGCACACACCGCCACCGCCTCCAGCTCAATCCTACAGCCAACGGGATACGGTCACAGCCCGGAACCGACACACAACGCATACGGAGCTAGCAATCACCCAAAGGCACACGCGGAAGCGGATCCTCATCCATCCACGAAGCGATGCCTTACTCCATGCGTTCACACGGATTGCGCATTGTTTCCTCAATAGAACTTACTCGTCGTCCATCCCGCTAAGATGCTTCACTTAATGATGGGTCCTAGAACAAAATAGAATAAAAAGGAAAATGTATTAACACTACGATACAGCTAAAGACGGTAATTCCTTAATAACAGAAATTCTCTTATTACACCTTGTACACAAACAGAAGCATTCACATAAATAAAAAGCCTTCAACATTTTCTTACCAATAACCAAAATACCCCTGGCATCCCTGATTTGTTTTTCTGTCGTTGTAAAAAAACATCGCGTTGTAATTTTTTGGCATCTGTGCGCCTTACTCCCAAAGCGGATGGTGCACCGGTGTCGTATAAAAAAACAAACATTCACATGTATTAAACAACTCGAAATACGTTTTTCACCAGAAACAAACAACCCCACTCTCCCCTAATTTTCTTCTGTCACTGTTACGTTCGATGGTGTTGGACACTTTTGGCATTTGTGTGCGATATACTGCCGCCTGATGCTGGTGCGCCCGCACCGTATGCGCACACACAAGTATCCAAAAATATATAACCCCCACAATGTTTTTACCAGAAATCAAAACTACCCCCTTTCCCTCCCCAATTTGTTTTCCTATTTCGACGGTTCTTCCCCACTTCGGAGTGCTTCGTCTCTTCAAAAGTCTCTGGATGGTATTGACACTTGGTACTGGCGCGCCTTTTCCTTCCAAAGCACCGCAATTTTTTGCTTTTCCTTCTTGCTCACACTATTGGGATTGACGGCACCGCATCCCTGCCAGTCATTCATCGGCGTGCTGTCCGCGTGTTGTATATAAATAATCTCCCATGACAATTGTCGGGAAAATTCCTCCCAACCATTAAAATATTTAGCCATACGCTCAGTGAATTGCTTCACAGTGCTGGTTACGGTGTGGTGCGCACCCGCCGTAGTCATCTGCAGCCCAACCAGCGTCTTCGGGTTTGATTCCAAAAAGAAAAAGCCGTCCACCAGCGGAAAGTTTTGAGCCTCCGGTTTGTACAGCACCCGATACTCTACATCCATCTTCCCCTCAGAATCTTTCAGTAACGGTAAAAGAAAGGGCTTGAGAGAGCGCTCATGTGGATGCACTCTCAATGCACAGCGGTGTGGCGGAGCATCCTTTTCTAGTTTCAGCTCCGTGAGTTTCGGTATTATTGCATTTACAAAGTCCTCACTTAAAAATGCAAACAAGGAATGATCTTCAAGGACTTTTGATATGAGGTCGTCCTTGATAGCCAATATGAGTAAATTAAAATCATTCGGCACCATTAACTCCGCCAACTTGCATAAAGTTAATTCTGTAAGATGAGAAGAAATCAGTGCATTGTAAGGCAATTCGGAATCCTCATTTCCTCGTACTCGTACGACCTTTACAAGTTTGTGAGAGACGTGGCTACCTTCACACATTTTATTAGTCCCCAAAACAGAGTAAGATTGGGTGTCGGACAAGACCATTTTATTAACTGTACTTCTGCACGAGTCAATCCGATCTTTGTATGCGCTCTGATCAAAGACGTAGCGAAGAAGCGGTCCCACTTTATCCATTCGAACTTCCACCTTTTTCCAGTAGTCCGCTTCTTCCTCCGCTTCTTCCTCCGCAAGCTGTCGATTTTGCTTCATCCAAACGCACATCGCCTTTACATCGTCTTTCTCAGGGCAATTCATTACGATTTGTACGGATTCACTTTGATTCGCCCATTTATCATAGTTGCTTAAGTTTGGCGATGACACCACAATCATGCCCCATCCGGTTGGGGGCGCAATATCTGTGTCGGGCGGTGTTCCTTTCCTTGCCACATCGTAAATGATATACCCTTTCATCCCACTCTTCCACAAACCACCCAAAACACTCTTGGATGTTTTATTACCCATGTATATTGTCACAATTTTGGTGTTCTTGTTAAACACGTACATCGTATTTCCAAAACAGTCGACAACCACTTGGAGTTTGTCCACATCGTAGTGCAGCAGCTTGTAGTGAAGGTACGAGCCGGCACCCATCGATTTCCCGTTTCCGGGCGTCCCAATCAACACACGCTTCTTGGGCTTAAAGTCGTCCTCACCGTAAGTGCTGAACCACGCTTCACGATCTGCCACACTCGATCCACCTCACAGTTCACACACAAGTCATTACCGGCTCTATGCGGCCCATTCATCGTGTACGGCCATCCATCGTCCCAGTTGAGCACCATCAGCCTGAGACGCTCTGCACCGGACTGCTCCACACCGTCATCCTTTTCGAGAGAGTCGCCAACTGCCCTGTACGTCCATGACTGCGGTGGTTCCCCCTCCTTCACCTCCATTTCAGTCCCCTCGCCACCAGGGACTTCCACGACATGATGCCACCTCGCATTGTACACAGACTCGTAGAATCCCTCTAGGTATATCGGTGCGATCGACTTCTTTGGGTCCTCGCCTCCTCGGCGGCTACATCCAAAAACCTTTTAGTGACTTTATGAACACCTGTTTTCACCTCCGCAGTAGCCACCAACCACTTCAGTAGATTGTCCACACCATTTTTGTAAAGCTTATTTACATCTTCTTCCAAACCCATTTCCTCCCGTACAGTCTTCTCCATCTCCGCATAAGCACCTGATGCCCGTACTTTTTTTTTTTTCTTCTCTTACCAGTCGTATTAACTACGCCTCAATTGTGCAGCTCTGGTAAGCGTACGAAGGAATTCAGTAGCAAGGATAACCTTACTCCGCGGGCAGCCACTATAGAATGGCTCCAACATCTGCCCTTCCGGCCCGTAAAACTAAGTAACAACTACTCATCGGGTTTGAAGCATGAACAGCAGGCGCTTGGCTTCCTCTCTAGTAAGAGTACTAGACCCTGGCACCACGTTGAGGTGGCCGGCTGAGCCAGGGGATGCCCGTACTTCGTTCAATACTCCCGCATCGCGGATATACCTCGTGGGATCACTAAAAAAATCCTCAGTAAGACATTCCGATTGGCGTGCAAAATGCCTTTGCCTCCCATTTCCAGCGTAAGAAAATCATTCAGCTTTATTTCCTTGACGCGAACTCTTCCTCCAAACAACAAATCTCCGATCACAGCATATAAGTTAAATATTACTTGTTGTTGGTCCCGCCTTGCCTTTTCTCCTGCCTCACGTCTTTCTTCTGTCAGTACCTGAGTGAGTACTCCGTTCAATTTTCCCCTTGCAAGAGGAGTGACCGTATCCTTTTCTTCATAGTCCCTCCATTGCCCGAGAAAGAGCACACCCTCGTGATGAAGCCTATTAACAGCCTCCAATAGTATTTCCCTCTCATCCAGCTCTATTTTCAGCTCTCTGTATGACGACGATGCCGTTATTAAGCCCAATATTTCATTGTCGTTAATAAACATCTCGGGATTCAAAACAAACACCGAAATAGAGACGTTCTCATTGGTGTCAACAACGCCCCTGCCGCCAAAATAATTACGAAGGAATTCATTCAGCTTCATTTCAGTGCTGCTAGTGCTTCCCTCCAGCAGAATGTCCTCTACGGTGCTGCTCATCGTCCACTGTGGTCGCTGCGCTTCCTCGTCTCTTGTGTGTGTCGCAGCGGGTTGATCTGTGTCACCTTCAGACGCCGGCCTCGCTCTCCTCTGACGATCTCCCTGCGGCACAGCAGACGCTTTATTTCCGGACATTGTTTCTCCTTGCTTTCTTAGTTGGATTGAGTTAAAGCTGAATACTAACCAGCAGTCAAAAGGAAGACTAGAATAAAATACGCACAGGAATGACTGACAGCCTCAGCACGAGAGTCACCTACACGGTGTGAAGTGCACACAAAATGCACAAGGACCGCCGCAACGACGGCAAGTGGGTGCCATTCACCCAGCACAGTGTTGGTGAGGGCAAACGATAACAACAACGTGGTGCGCACGGAGGGTTCGTCCACGCATACCGCTCGCCACGGTTCCGCACCCGTGTGGCACCGCCGTCCACCGCACAAACTCTGCAAGAGGACGTGGGCATATCATCACTGACACACGAAAACACGCACAAAAGTGGGAAGAGAATTCGGTGCAGCCACGGCCACACGCAGGGAACACAAATCATACACGCCACAACAGCGATGCATCATGGTAAGTTTCAACACAACAAAAAGGAAAGCAATTACATGCTTTATGAAAAATCCCCGAAATTCGCACAGCACAAAAGAGCCATGACACTCCCTTTCTTACTGCATTCGCCGTTCATATTCCCAATGCGTAACCCTGCAGATGTTGCCCCGCCATCGTGAAAACAACTGCCTCGTTGTGGTGTCATCGCGCAGCCATCCGCCTGGGTGGGAAAAAGAGTAAAAACAGGCGTCCGTCCACCTGAAAGGAAGAGGGACTCAGCCGCAGTGTCCTCCACGACGCAAACACTCCGCGGCCAGTGCCCGGTGTCGTGTGAGGACTCCGCGAGGGGGTTGTGGGCACGCCACTGTGCCACACGGATTGCCCCCTCGGAACGCAACAGCAGGTGTGTTCCCTTCCAGTCGCACTCGTGGCGGTGGTGGCATCCGCTGCCTCGCTG